GACTGGTATAAAATGGTTGAGGGAGCAGACAGAACCCAGCTCTCCTCCTTTTTGTGCTGCAGTTGCCTAGCGACGCGAGGCTGGAGTGGAAATGGTGGAGTGATGCTGCTGTATTTTATGAATGAAATTGGAGTGGGGGGGGGGAATCAGTGATGGGAGGGTGAAGAGTGGGTTGATGTGCACACAAACACGTGCTGCTGCTGCACTCTCACCCTCCCTCCAAACCACCACATATCAAACAGGTTAGCAGAAAGCAGCACAAGATAAACAAAAAACTTTATTRATCCCATTGCTTTTACAAACTACACAGGGAACATATGTGGAGTACAAAATGAAACTATAGGTCTTATTCAGACAAAACAAGCGCTACAAGTATGTTATTTACAATAAGCCCTTCATCCACGTGACTTGACAGCAACATCTCACTCACTTTCTTTTCGCCTTCAATATTTTAGACTTTATTTTACAAAGAATAATCATTTTTCCAAAAATAAGGTTCAATACTGCGCCTGCGTTGCTTGTCCAGATTACAGTGAATGAAGTTCCAGCAAAACATGGTTTTGTTACAAAGATGTGTTTCACCAGCAGGGGTCCACAATGATGCAACACATTCCGAACACTTTGGCTTGTTTGTGCTACATCTATTCAAAAATTAGGGTTGGGTATAATCGTATTGTGTGCAATTAATCAATTATTTTTTGGCACTTGATGATTAATACAATTAATGCCACCAGGCAGAGTCCGCTCCTCTCTGCTTCAAATACGATGAACATTAAATAAAAAAAAAACCACGTAATTTATTTATCTTTCAACAGTTTTAAATGTGATGTACAGCCTGAAATCTAATTTTGACACAGTTTGGAACAGATTTGTATGAAGAGCAAATCTTTCCCACTAAATTGGTCATGTGACCAGGACATGAGGGACTCCAGGGGATTAATCATCAAATTAATCGTTATCGGCTAAACACCACAATTAATCGTGATTCATTTTTTGCCAATATTGCCCAACCCTATCAAAAACAGAGCATTTCCTAAGGTTTTGAATTGTGCACATACCAATGAGATAAACAAAATCTGAGTATTAAAAACGTGAATAACAACTCGATGATGCAAGCCTGTTTAAAGATAGAACTACCTTAATGACTCAAACCTGCAACGCCATTTAAAGACAAACATGTGATTATTTAAGGCAATTCTGGCTGTAGATCTGAGAGAGCGTACAAGAGTAGAACCAAAGTTAGTAACAATTTCAGGCCCATCGCAGTAACGTCCATGCTGCCGAGTCAGAATGTCCCCTTTAATGTCCACGTTTCATGTAGATATATGGCCACTCTGTTGAAATGTGGGGTTGTTCGAAGAGCTCCGTGTCCATAATAAGAGTCTACGGACCCTTACATGCAGTCCATGGAGTTGTCTGGCATCTGTCCATGGGGCGGCAACTTTCCGGCCATACAAGGAGGAGGAAGCATACCACCGATGTTTGGAGACGGGTCAACATTTTCACAGTCCTCCATCTTGTCAGCCAAGCCCTCCCAGTTAATGTGGAAGCGGGTGACTCGAGGGTTGGAGGCCAAAATATTCCTCTGGAGCTACAAGAAGAAATAGAGAAACATGAATCAAATGTCAGACTTCGATGCATTTAAACAGCACTTCCCGTCAGTTTACTCACAGAATACCATGTAGTCAATTAAGCTGGTGTTTTGTTCCAGAGTTTGAATAAATAGGATTTTATTGTGTATTAAGGTTGTACCACACTGGGCTGTGACGACAAGGGGTGCACGACAGTTATCGGCCCGATATCATAACAAACTGAACATATAATATATGTACATGTTTGTCAGCGCGGCGATGAGAATGCGTGTTTATTTTTATCCTTTTTGGTCAAGCCGCGTCCCGCCCAACACGACCCGAGCAACGTTCAAGTTGCGTCGGAAAAAACAACTTTCTCACTAGAAAAATAATTAAAATACTCCGTGTTGAAAAACAACCAGTCATTTTAAGAATTAGCAAAAGGGATCCACGATTAGTTGTAACATTAGATTTTATTTGATAAAAATTAATTTTAACTGTAAAATAAAGACTGTAAAAATATATTTTAACACGGACGGAACCCTTTTATTTACAGTGGTTTGCAAAAGTATTCATACCCCTTGAACTTTTCCATATTTTGTCACATTACAACCACAAACATAAATATATTTCACTGGAATTTAATGTGAAAGACCAACACAAAGTGGTATACAATTGTGAAGTGGAAGCAAAATTTTACATGAATCAAAACATTTTTTACAAATAAAAAACTGAAAAGTGTGACGTGCAAAAGTATTCAGCCCCCTTTTCCCTGAGTGCAACCAATTGCATTCAGAAGTTGCCTGATGACTGCTAATGACTCAAAAGGGTCCACCTGTGTGTAATCTAATCTCAGTACAAATACAGCTGCTCCGTGACGGCCTCAGATGTTGGTTAAGAGAATATTGGGGAGCAAACAGCATCATGAAGTCCAAAGAACACACCAGACAGGTTAGGAATATGGTTTTGGAGAAGTTTAAAGCAGGCTTAGGTTATAAAAAGATTTCCCAAGCTTTGAACATCTCACGGAGCACTGTTCAATCCATCATCCGGAAATGGAAAGAGTATGGCACCACAGTAAACCTGCCAAGACAAGGCCGTCCACCTAAACTTACAGGCCGAACAAGGAGATCACTGATCAGAGAGGCAGCCAAGAGGCCCATGGTGACTCTGGATGAAATGCAGAGAGCCACAGCTCAGGTGGGGGAAACTGTCCACAGGACAACAATTAGTCGTGCACTACACAAATGTGGTCTTTATGGAAGAGTGGCAAGGAGAAAGCCATTGTTAAAAGAAAACCATAAGAAGTCCCGTTTGCAGTTTGCCAGAAGCCATGTTGAGGACACAGCAAACATGTGGAAGAAGGTGCTTTGGTCAGACGAGACCAAAATTGAACTTTTTGGCCACAATGCAAAACGCTATGTGTGGCGGAGAAAGAACACTGCACATCACTCTGAAAACACCATCCCCACTGTCAAATATGGTGGTGGCAGCATCATGCTCTGGGGGTGCTTCTCTTCAGCAGGGACCGGGAAGTTGGTCAAAGTTGATGGGAAGATGGATGGAGCCAAATACAGGGCAATCTTGGAAGAAAACCTGTTGGAGTCAGCAAAAGATTTGAGACTGGGGCGGAGGTTCACCTTCCAGCAGGACAACGACCCTAAACATAAAGCCAAAGCTACAATGGAGTGGTTTAAAAAAAAGAATATTCATGTGTTAGAATGGCCCAGTCAAAGTCCAGACCTAAACCCAATTGAGAATTTGTGGCAAGATCTCAAAACTGCTGTTCACAAACGCTCTCCATCCAATCTGACTGAGCTTGAGCTGTTTTGCAAGGAGGAATGGGCAAGAATTGCAGTCACTAGATGTGCAAAGCTGGTGGAGACATACCCTAAAAGACTTGCAGCTGTAATTGCAGCAAAAGGTGGCTCCACAAAGTATTGACTCAGGGGGGCTGAATAATTTTGCACATCGCACTTTTCAGTTTTTTATTTGTAAAAAATGTTTTGATTCATGTAAAATTTTGCTTCCACTTCACAATTGTATACCACTTTGTGTTGGTCTTTCACATTAAATTCCAGTGAAATATATTTATGTTTGTGGTTGTAATGTGACAAAATATGGAAAAGTTCAAGGGGTATGAATACTTTTGCAAACCACTGTACATATAAAGCATTCTGGGTAAATGATGACGTGGATAAGTCCTCGGTGCAAGGCTGCTAGCGAGCTATATCCACCCTGAAGGTTAATCTTGGACAATATCTGATGATCGACTCTTTTAAATGAAACCAGAGAGCGTTGACAGAGAGGAGAAGGTAGAAATGACTCAGCCTCTAACTGAAAATATAGATGGAGGACAACAGAGCTGCTTCAAGAAGAAGAACCTCAGCTTAACCTGTTAGCCTTCGTACTAGCACTGACACTATATTGCCTTATATGCATTAGCTCGGTGCTAGCGCGACAAACAAGCTAAACTGAGGTCCTCCATCCATATTTTCAGTTACAGGCTGAGTCATTTTTGTGTTCCCCTCTCTGTCATGTGGATGGAGGACCTCAGTGACGAGAGGAGAACGTGTAGCGCTGAGCTAATACATATACTGTATATGGTGATAGCATCAGGGCTAATGCTAAAGCTAACAGGCTAAGCTGAGGTTGTTCTTCCATGAAGCAGCTCTGTTGTCCTCCATCCATATTTTCAGTTCCAGGCTGAGTCATTTCTACCTTCTCCTCTCTGTCAACGCTCTCTGGTTTCATTTAAAAGAGTCGATCATCAGATATTGTCCAAGATTAACCTTCAGGGTGGATATAACTCGCTCACACCGAGGACCTATCCACGTCATCATTTACCCAGAATGCTTTGCGTGTAAATAAAATGGCCACGTCCGTGTAATATATTTTTAAATAACTAAATATCCTACAGTATTTTTACAGTCTTTATTTTAAAGTTATGTTTATCAAATAAAGTCTAATGTTACAACTAATCATGGATCCCTTTAATATTATTTTAACAATTAAACCAGTATGTTACACACAAACTTCAACACACAAACTTTATAATTATGAATATAAAACAGTCAGAACAACTACTCCCAATTTGAGAACATGTAATGTCCGTTACCTCCTGAATGCAGCACGAAGTCCATCTGCTAAAATGCTAACAACAACAAGCTAGCGTTCAAGAACTCATCTGTACTTAAAATCATTGCTGATGATTTTGACAAATCCCAAAAAAAGTGCCAGAGATGATGCAGATCTGAAGCACTTTAACGATGGAAATGATGGAGCTTGACATGCAGCCGCTCACCCTCACTAAACCTGAAGCTTTTATCTCCTTGTTAGACACGGTTTACCATGCTGAGCTGCTGCTAACTGTGTCTTCCTGTATGATGCAGTCGTAATGCATTCACACTCTCAGAAGCACCGTTTCACGTAGAAAATTGTTTTAAATCATATTTATGATAAAAACTAATGTATTTTCTATCGAACTTGTGTTAGTGCATTATCTGTTTTGAACGTGTGGAATGACCTTTTCTCTTTAGTTTAAATCTGAGATCAGTGTTAAAAGGTCTTTTTATAATTAATGTGCCTTATTTAAAAAGATGGACATTAGAAAAATTGTTTTGTTTGATATATTTTAAGAAATATTTGTTTAAGAGTTTATTTCAAATAGTATAATTTACAGTGTCACTTGGTTTTGGTCTTGTTTATGTTATGATCTTACCCATTTTTGACTCATCTTATCTCCTGGCATGTTATCAGTTATTATCGGCCATTAGAAGGAGAAAGTTATCTGTTATCGGTTCTTAAAATAAGTTATMGTGCGTCCCTAAAAACAACTCTGGAAATGTTTGCAGGTTTTTGATTTTCAACGTTTATACAAAATTTGTGCAAACATTTTTTTCTCAAAATGGGCAGAGTTGTCACAGGCATCTCAAATTTATCACAGTTTAGCTTCTGTAAGGGTTTCTGTGTTAGAGCTGTTTTGTTAACACGGCCTATGACAGAAAACCACTGAGGCTACTGTCCTGAATATTACGGTGCGAAGACTAAGTGGATTTTAAAACCTGAAAAGTTGAATAGAAAGTGAGCTGAGGCAGACATGATGTGGTCAACTAAATAATGTGCACAGGGTAGTAGGGATCTTTTCATACCGACATATTATCTCTGGTTAATACAGAGGTATACGGTATGGATGGTCTTTGGCAGGTTGATTGATGAAGATTTTAAAATACAATAATGCTTCAACAGACACTTCCATAAACCAACAAAACTATAAGTAAAGTATAAACTACTTAAATTCTATTTTTTTTATCACCAAAACCAAGGCCATGTAATGTCTATTTCAAGACACTAGGTGGGAGCAAAATCTACTTCACTAAAACCTTTTTTTTGCAAATACTGTATGTGCCCTACATTTAACACCTTTTATTGTTAGAAGCACGAAGAGAGTGAAGTAAATATAAAGCTGTCTACAATTACATTACAGTTTCTGACATTTCTTATTAGTTTGTGTTACCTGAGTGTAGTCTGGTTTTAGAGGTGGATTTTCTCGTAGTTCTGGATCCGTGTATTCATTGTTGACGTAATAACCAATCCGAATAAACTCTTGTCCTCGGTAGGTGCATGTTATGAGGACTACTGTCACTCCGACAGCATCACTTTCAGGAATCAGTGCGGTGTTAGGAGCATCAGCCTAATTGAGGAGCAAAAGACATTAAAATTAGCATAATCTAATTTATAACAATGTCAAGCAAATCAAATGCCCGCACTTAAAAATCATAGACATGCAACATGCGTTTAATGCCCATTCTAGCCCAGAATATACTACTGAAAACTCACCTGAAAAACAAACATATGCCTTCCAGCTGGTACTGGGCCCACTAAAACCGAGTCCAGAACCTGGTCGTATTCTTCACTCTCAGCTGAACCAACATAGATGATCTTCCACTCCAAATCTGACCGAAACACAAACATGATGTAAATCTCAGTTTAACAGGTCAGTGACAGAATTCAACTCTGCGTTTTTCTGACGCGAGTAAGATTTAAGCTTTATTTAAAAACACTGAGACTTAGTGTTAGCTTTTTTTAAGAGAATCTTTGTTTTTAATCAGCGGTTCTTTACCACAACCTTTGCAAACAGCTGAGATCAATCCAAATCCATGACAGAGAGGAGATCTTTAACCCTTTAACTCTTTATTGATCACATAGGAAAAAAAGCAATGCAAAAATTTCATCTTTGTAGAATTTATTTCACTGGGTAAATAATCATTTTTTATCATAACTTTCATGTAAACAACTTCAGGTTTTAGTTTAGTTCAGTGCACACTTCAATAACATTTAGAGGTCAAAAGTTGTGCTACCAAATGTTTGACCAGGAATCATAAAGGAGATAAATACATAATTTTAGTGTTCATTCAAGTGAATAAATAAATTAAAAAATATATAAATATTTATTGTTCTTTACAAATTTACCTCCAAGAAAGTTAATATAGGCAAATGAATAAATGTAAAATAAATTAATTAATTAAAAAGACCAATACCGGTGAGAGTTGGACTCCGCCAAGGCTGCCCTTTGTCACCGATTCTGTTCATTACTTTCATTGACAGAATTTCTAGGCGCAGCCGAGGTGTTGAGGGGATCCGTTTTGGTGGCCTTAGGATCACATCTCTAATTTTTGCGGATGATGTGGTCCTGTTGGCTTCATCGGAACGAGATCTGCAGCTCTCACTGGAGCGGTTTGAGGCCGAGTGTGAAGCGGCCGGGATGAGGCTCAGTGCCTCCAAATCCAAGGCCATGGTCTTGAGCCAGAAAAGGGCAGAGTGCCTTCTCCGGGTCAGGGGGGTCGTCCTGCCACAAGTGGAGGAGTTTAAGTATCTGGGGATCTTGTTCACGAATGGGGGAAGAAGGGAGCGGGAGATCGACAGGCGGATTGGCGCAGCGTCTGCTGTAAAGCGGGTGCTGTACCGGTCCGTCGTGGTGAAGAGAGAGCTGAGTCAGAAAGCGAAGCTCTCGATTTACCGGTCGATCTACGTTCCTACCCTCATCTATGGTCATGAGCTTTGGGTCATGACCGAAAGAACGAGGTCCCGGATACAAGCAGCTGAAATGGGTTTCCTCCGCAGGGTGGCTGGGCTCTCCCTTAGAGATAGGGTGAGAAGCTCGGTCATCCGGGAGGGACGCGGAGTAGAGCCGCTGCTCCTCCATGTCGAGAGGAGCCAGTTGAGGTGGCTCGGGCATCTGGTAAGGATGCCTCCTGGACGCCTCCCTGGTGAGGTATTCCGGGCACGTCCCACCGGGAGGAGGCCCCGAGGAAGACCCAGGACACGCTGGAGGGACTATGTCTCTCGGCTGGCCTGGGAACGCCTTGGAGTTCCCCCGGAGGAGCTGGAAGAAGTGGCTGGGGAGAGGGAGGTCTGGGCCTCCCTTCTGAAGCTGCTGCCCCCGCGACCCGACCCCGGATAGGCGGAAGAAAATGGATGGATGGAAAAAGACTAATACCCAAAACCAGAACAAACAGCATGTTCATGTTCATTTTGTGCCATTAACAAAACTCTGATGCCCTTATTATTATTATTATTATTATTATTATTATTATTATTATTATTATGTAAGAGACTGGTTATTTGCTGGATATTATCCACTTAAAAAACAAGCAAAAATGTCCTCATCTTGATTAAACAAACAGAACCAATAGTAGATGATGCAGGTTAATTTCATACTGTTGAATCCAGTCAGGATTTTCTGTTTTACATTTTCTTTATTTATTTTGACTGCGTCGAATAATAAACTAGTTTATGTCACACAATGGCCAACATGCAGCATTATCATTTTTTAAACATTAGTCAGATTTTTTTTTACATTTGCATACTGAGGACTATAAGTTAAATCATGCATGCCAAATCATTTCATTTCCAATCGTGTCTACAAACATTCATTGACCATCCATTTGTGGTTGTTTTAAAACGCCACAGATACCAGCTACTCAACTGATTATAGATTATAAAAAGGGCTCTTTATAGAAAGCTTGTTTGACTTGTTTGTTTAGCAGAAATGAGAGTGATCGACATGGTATTTGACACGATACGAATATTTTTAAGCATGTTTAAGGATGATGCAAAAACTGAGTTTCACAAATGTTAAACATAAACTTTATTGTGTAATGTTAACACTTGTAGACAGGATGCACCGTTTTATTTGTTCATCTATTCTAAATAGGCAAACTACTAATATCCTCACGGGGAAAAACAGATTTAAAAGTGAATTTATTGAGTATTTGTTTGATTTTTTTTTCTCTGCTTCTATCAGTAGTTCGCGGCAACTCGTTGAGCCCATTTTTTATTATTTCACAAGCATACTTTTGTCAGCCAATAAGCTTACAGCAAATATGTCACGTGAACGTGTTTAAACCAATCACAGCAGAGGAAAGGCGGCTTCTAAGGACAAACGCGCCAGCGCCAATTTTCAACAACAGAAGAAAAAAAAAAGACACATCAAAGTATGCTAAACCATGGCTGAACGTGAACCATTACTAAACAAAATAAAGTGAATGTGAATTTCGGGCTCACAACACATATCTAACGTGGAGCTGACAGGGTATCCAAACGAAACAGCTGCATAAAAAAAGCGAACAGTGTCATTTAAACAAAACAATACTTTTGTTAGCTAAATAGATTACCTACCTTCTGGCAAATCCTCCATGCATTCAAACGTTATTTCGAATTGAAACGGGTTTCCAAAAGGACTCGGGTTGTCCAGTACAGCAACGTTTAACACTTGTACCTTGGCCATAGCAGAACTCAGTCTTCTGAAGCACCGACCTGACCAACTTATCAGCTTTGGTTTCCTTCTTACGGGAATTAATTTCGACGAGTCGCCGGGCACGTAAGCGTCGCTGTTCACAGGCCGACTTACAAACCGTGGAGCTCCGAGGCTGAAAGTGTGGACGCTAAAGTTTGATCCTTTTATCCTGAAAGAACACCAGCTAACATAAACCCACAGGCGGCTTTTAGCGACCGGAAGCGCGTCACTCTTCTTCTACTCCTCGGGTCGACGCGTTGATCCTCAGAGAGCTGCTGCCACCTACTGTTCATCTGTAAAACAACAGCAGATGTTCCTTTTAATCTGCTGGTTGTTTTTGTGTCTTTATTTTCGAACCAAATTTTAGAGAAAATTATAAAATCAAATATTTTTTAAATCTTTTTCGTGCATTTTTGTCCCTTTTTGAGGCTGAATATAACCACTAAGTATTATTATCCGTTTTTTATTTAGGAAATTAAGATGACAATTAGTCAAATAGCTTATTACAGCTTACTTGTTACCTCATGAAGTACATAACCTATGATTTTTGATATGTTTTAGTATGAATTTAAGCAGGGGAAAGACATCCCAATGACTGGAAAACTAATACACACAAACATACAGATCTCAAATGAGTCATTTTATTAACCATAATTTTGTTTGAATATGCCACCCAAATTTATTAAACAAACTATCAGATAAGTACCAGTGTAGAGTTTTAGCACAACTAGTGACGTTTTCCCTGAGTTTTCTTTGTCCAGGCAGAGTGTGTCACTTTCACCTGGACTGATAATGTTAAAGGAACTTCCAACTATTTTAATGATGTTGCATGTCAGCACTTTCTCATTTTCTCAGTAAAAATAAGAGTTGAGTTACAAAAATCAGCACATATCAGGTTTTTCTGTGGTCCATAGAAACATTACTACACAACATCAAAACTTTAATAAGGCCAAAAAGAAAAGCAAAGAATAAAACACACATCTTAATTTTAAAGGCACAGTGTGTAGGATTTGTTGTTTTCAGCGACATCTAGTGGTTGAGTAGTTGAATCATCCTCCTGGTCCTCCCCCCACCCCCACCCCCCTCTTCCAAACACAAAGGAGTTGCTACGGTGTCTCTCAGGTGTCAAAAACCTTTGATAATTCCAACCACGATGTCTACCAGCAGCTTCAGGGCTAGTGATGTTTCAAGTGGTAAGATTATGAGCTTTAATAAGTAAAATTATCCCAGCTACAATGACAGACAACAAATATTACATTTATAGTATTACAACTAAAACCCCTCTCCTTGGGCTGCTACCTTATCGTGGTGGAGGGGTTTGAGTGTCCCAATGATCCTAGGAGCTATGC